TCCGGTTCAGTCAGTTATTTTCAGTTTCAGTCCCGGTTTTCAGTTTCAGTGTTATTTTCAGTTAAATTCCGGGTCAAGTTCAGTTCAGTTAATTATTATCAACTCAGTTTCATTCTTAGCCGGTTTCAGTTATACCGAATAAGTCCGAATATCATGTCAGATTCGAAAGAGCATCTTAACATAATTAAACAGTTAAATTATCAGTCTGAGCATAGTCAATAGTAATTGTTTATATTATTTTCAGTTTGATCAGGCATCAGCACTACCATTCAGTTTCAGTTTCAGCAGTTCAGGTGGGGACTCAGACTAAGTACTACATGGTTTATAATTACGTTACCATGGTCGAGGTATGTATAATCAGTACCCTCTCGGAATGGTCGCCGGTCCATTCTGAGTTCTAGTGGCCTAATCTAACCACTAGAGTGTGCACATGGTCCGGTATTAGTTTTTGCCGGGAGATTTCAGTTATCAGTTACGTGACTTATGTCGCGAGATCAGACCGGTTATTAGTTATCAGATACCAGTTTCAGATTCAGTTCAGTTGTATATGCTTAGTTCATGATATTGTTATTGTTTACGATGTTGTACATTAGCATGAGTTTCCACGGAGCACAGTGCCATAGTGCTCACGCCCCACACTTTTCATGTTTTTCAGGACGCAGGGTCGGAGATGAGGAGTGAGCGGGCGAGCTGTTCAGGACATTTATGATTATTGTATTTTATGTTGAACCACGCTATGTTTCCGCTAAAACTTTTCAGTACTCATTATCAGACTTTGCTCCGACATTAGTCGGATAAGACATTATGACCGTTTTTTTATGTATCAGTTTAAATTTTAACGGTTTTCAGAAAATCAAGTTTTTCACGGTAGCCCCCGAATCAGTTTTCGCAAAATAAGTATTTTATTTATTTATCAGAAAATTGCGAAAAATCACGTACTCTGATGTAATAGTAAGTCGGGGCGTTACAAATTGGTATCAGAGCGCACGTTCTGCGTCTCTGAAAAGTTTTTCAGTCAAAAAAAAAAAAAAAAAATTCAGAAAAACCTGAACCCTCACGCTCACGCCTCGCCGACTCCAGGTAAGTGCTGATTCAGTTTTTCAGTTATAAACATATTACTTTGTCTATGCTCAGAAATCAGTAATCAGACTTAGTTAAGATGCTCTATTCAGATTCAGACTTTAGAGTTCAAATATAACTCTAGAATTCAGTAGATTCAGACCTGACTTTAGAAATCAGTACACTCAGATATGACTCTAGACTTTAGTATCTTTTGTTATGACTCTAGAGTTCCTCAGGTTTCATGTCAGTATTTATCGGCCATTTTGGGCAACTCGTTAAGAGATCTGTGTGCCTTAGTAATCAGTCAGAAAATCATCATGTATTCAATAATTTTGGACTTTTTCAATGTTCAGATGCCGCCACGTAGGGAACCCGATCATCCGGCTCCTACTCAGGCTACAGTGGTCGCCCAGTTCCGCGACTACAATGCCGAAAAGTTCTCAGGGCAGGGAGATCCTCGCGTAGTTGATGAGTGGATTCAGGGCCTGGAGTTTATCTTCGAGGTCATGGAGTACCCTGAGAGATATCGCGTCATTTGCGATCAGCTTCAGCTCACCGGTGATGCCAGGCTCTGGTGGAACGCTTACTGGGGCATGCATCCCGGTGAGAAGGCGGGATGTACGTGAGAGATGCTCAAGGAGTTAATCCGTGAGAAGTACTATCCCACATACTACCGAGCAGAGATGGAGCGTCAGTTTCTATTGCTCCAGCAGGGTACTCGTACTGTCGACGAGTACGAGAGGGAGTTCACGAGACTTGCAGCTTTTGTTCCTGATTTGGTCCGCACAGAGGCCCAGCGAGCGCAGCGTTTCATCGACGGACTTTGCCCAGCAGTCCGTCATAACATCGTAGGCCACGGGACACAGACATATGCACGTGCAGTCTCCATTGCTCAGGAGGTGGATGCTAGCATTAGGAGGGAGGCCGTTCGTGCTCAGTCGTCTTCAGTTCCACCGATGTCAGCTTTACCATCTACCCAGCCGCCCAAGAACTACAAGAGGAAAGATAAGGGTGCCCAGACAGATAAGAGGGCTCGACGGAGGCTACAGCAGGTTCCACAGTGCCCGACATGTGGACGACATCACCGAGGCGAGTGTCTCTTTGGTCAGGATGTGTGCTACTACTGTCACAAGGCCGGACACTTTGTGAACTGTTGTCCGAAGAAGGCGCAGCAGCCTCAGCAGCCTCAGCAGCCTCAGCAGCCACCGCAGCAGCAGCAGCAGCCCCGTTAGCAGGCACAGAGGCAGCCCCAGCAGCAGCAGCAGAGGGGTAGACAGCAGGCCAGAGTTTATGCCATCGATCAGGCAGAGGCCGAGAAGCAGCCAGGTACCATGTCCGGAATGGTTATTCTTAATAATGTTCCTGTGTTTGCTTTGTTTGATACCGGAGCGACGCATACTTTCATTTCACGACGATGTCTTGATGCCATCGGAGTTCGCGCTACTACTGCTATCGATCCTCTCGAGGTGAGTTTGGCCTCGAGACGAAAGATAGTGACTTCAGCTAAAGCCTCAGATCTTAGCCTTTCCATCGGTGGCCGAGTTTTGCCTACCGACGCGTTTGTTCTCGAGATGAAGGACTTCGACCTTATTCTCGGAATGGATTGGCTATCCTTTTATCATGCAGATATCAAATGTCACGATTGGGAGATTACTCTTTATCTTCGGAGAGATGAGTCGATTACTTTCTTCAGCTCCTGAAACCGTTCTTTGCCTCATGTTGTTTCGATGGCGAAAGCCACTAAGTTGTTGCGACGAGGCAACTACCAGGGTTATCTGGTGAGCCTTGTTGATGATTCTCAGAAAGCACGTTCACCTCACGATGTTCCAGTCGTTCGAGAGTTTGTGGACGTATTCCCAGACGAGCTTCCAGGAGGACCGCCTAATCGGCAGGTAGAGTTCTCTATAGACCTTATTCCAGGGGCCGGTCCAGTATCCAAAGCCCCGTACCGTATGGCGCCTAAGGAGTTGCAGGAGCTTAAGGCGCAGATTCAGGAGCTGTTACGACTCGGTTTCATCCGACCGAGTGTGTCACCTTGGGGAGCACCCGTTCTCTTTGTTAAGAAGAAGGACGGATCCATGCGCATGTGTATCGACTACCGGGATCTTAACCGGTTGACGATCAAGAACAAGTACCCGCTTCCCAGGATCGATGACTTATTTGATCAGCTGAGGGGAGCCTGTGTGTTCTCAAAGATTGATCTGCGATCAGGCTAGCACCAGCTGAAGATTAAGGAGTATGATATCGCTAAGACCGCTTTCAGGACTCGTTACGGCCATTACGAGTTCGTCGTCATGCCATTCGGTCTCAGCAATGCGCCAGCAGTTTTCATGGACCTCATGAACCGTATCTTCCATTCCTACCTCGATCAGTTTGTTATTGTCTTTATTGACGATATTCTTGTCTACTCGAAGAGCCAGAAGGAGCACGAGGAGCATCTGAGGGTAGTTCTTGAAACCCTCAGACGAGAAAAGTTGTTTGCAAAATTCTCCAAATGCGAGTTCTGGCTCCAGCGAGTATCCTTTCTGGGTCATGTGATTACTCAGGCAGGTATCGAGGTGGATCCTTCCAAGGTTTCAGCTGTTCAGAATTGGTCAGCACCGACGAGTCCGTCCGAGGTTCACAGTTTTCTCGGTCTAGCTGGATACTATCGCAGGTTCATCGAGGGCTTTTCCAAGATCGCCCTCCCTCTATCCCAGCTGACTAGGAAGTCTGTGAAGTTTGAGTGGACTGACCGATGTGAGTCGAGCTTTCAGGAGCTCAAGAGGAGATTAACTTCAGCACCGGTGTTGACTATTCCCGATCCTTCTCGGAGTTTCACCGTTTTCAGCGATGCTTCGAGACAGGGCTTGGGATGTGTCCTTATGCAGGACGGCCAGGTCGTTGCGTATGCTTCCCATCAGCTTAAGCCGCATGAGCAGAATTATCCAACGCACGACTTGGAGTTAGCATCAGTCGTTCATGCTCTCAAGATTTGGCGACACTATCTTTACGGCGGTCATTGTGAGATTTTCACAAATCATAAGAGCTTGCAGTATATCTTTACTCAGAAGGAGCTCAACATGAGACAACGCCGTTGGTTAGAGCTCGTCAAGGATTACGACTGCTCTATTCAGTACCATCCGGGAAAGGCGAACGTCGTTGCAGATGCCCTAAGCCGTCAAGTGAGGGGTGACTTGACGTACGTCATTACTCAGCAGAGTCCTTTGATTTAGGAGTTTGCCCGGATGCAGCTTCAGGCAATTGATGCACTTTCCATAGCAGTTTCGGGGAGTACCAGTGCCAGTGTCAGTGCTATGCAGCTTCAGCCGACGCTGAGAGAGAGAATCCGACGAGAACAGGCTTCTGACGAGTTCGTTCGTGTCATGGAGGCCAAGGTTCGCGCCGGAGGCGTCGAGGGTTTTCAGCTAGGTGCCGATGGTGCCCTAGAGTTAGGAGGCAGGATTGTGGTCCCCAAAGTTGAGGTGTTGCGGAAGGAGATTTTATCAGAGGCCCATACCGCACCCTATCTAGCCCATCCAGGGAGCACGAAGATGTATCACGACCTGAAGGGGTCGTTCTGGTGGCGAGGCATGAAGAAGGACGTCGCCGAGTTCGTCAAGAGATGTTTAACCTGTCAGCAAGTTAAGGACGAGCATCAGAGTCCGATTGGCCTCCTGCAGCCACTGCCGATTCCGAAGTGGAAGTGGGAGGAAGTCACGATGGATTTCGTTACGGGATTGCCGAGGTCGTCTAAACATCACGACGCTATTTGGGTCGTGGTTGATAGATTGACTAAGGTTGCGCATTTCTTACCCGTTTCAATGAGGATGTCCATGGATAAGTTGGCTGAGATATATGCCCGTGGGATCTTTCGACTCCACGGAGTGCCCGTTACGATTGTATCAGACAGAGATCCCAGATTCGTCAGTCGATACTGGCACAGTTTGCATGAGGCGATGGGCACGAAGCTTGAGTTTAGTTCAGCCTACCATCCGGAGACAGACGGTCAGTCAGAGCGGACTATTCAGACGCTTGAGGATATGCTTCGCGCTTTGGTTGTTGACAGAGGTGCTATGTGGGAGTCGTTGTTGTCGTACGCCGAGTTCGCGTATAACAACAGCTATCATTCTTCTATTCAGATGGCTCCTTACGAGGCACTTTACGGTCGCAAGTGTCGTTCCCCTCTCTATTGGGACGACGTCGGAGAGCGACGAGTTCGGTCCCCAGTTGATCGAGGAGACAGCAGATCAGGTCGAGTTGATCCGGCAGAGACTCAGGACAGCTCAGAGTCGTCAGAAATCTTCCGCCGATCATCATCGGCGAGACATTCAGTTTGAGGTTGGCGAGCCAGCCTTTCTCAGGGTTCGTCCGATTCGTGGAGTTGTGCGATTCGGAAAGAGAGGGAAGCTGCACCCTCGGTTCATCGGTCCGTTCGAGGTTCTCGAACGAGTAGGCGAGGTCGCGTATCGTTTAGCCCTACCTCCCGAGTTATCAGACATCCATAATGTATTTCACGCATCGATGTTGCGTAAGTACGTGTGCGACCCCGATCATGTTATCCCTCATTCAGATATTCAGGTTCAGTCAGATCTTTCGTACGAGGAGCGATCGGTAGCTGTTCTAGACCGTCAGGTTCGTCGGCTCCAGAAGCGAGATATTCCCCTCGTGTGCATTCAGTGGGATCGCCACGGAGCTACTTGGGAGGAGGAGGAGTCCGACATTCGCGTTCGTTTTCCGGATTTTCAGTTCTGATGTACATATTTTTCTCATAGTTCATGTATTTTCAGTTATGTTCTGAATTTCCGAGGACGGAAATTTTGTAAGAAGGGAGGATTGTAATATCCCGACTTTTTATCAGTATAATTAATGTTTTAGTTCCGATATTATTTTTCGGAATTAATTATTTTCAGTTATTTCAGTCGGAATTACCGAAAAATATTTTCGACGTACCGTTTACGTCCGGAATAATTTTGGTAATTATGTGTTATGCTTAATTAATTGATTAAGCCTTAATTTGTGATTAATGGTAATTAATCACCATTAGTAAGTTAAAAAGGCCGTGCATGTTAATTGTTAGTGAATTGGTCCCAATCCTATGCTAATTGCCGTGCCTAACATGTTAAGTAAGTGGGGAATTTTTGTTCCCTAGGCATGCATTATGCCGTGCACCATGTGTATATGTAGTCAAGATTCCTCCTTTGTCTTCATGTTAGTGTTTTGTGCAAGAGATTCCCTCCTCATTTTGTCCTCTAAATGCCGTGAGTAGTGGCATGGATGCTAGAGCTTTTGTCCTAATTCATGTGTAAAATGCCGTGCATTTTGTTGTGTAGTATGTTGGATTTTGTCCAAGATTCCTTCCTTGTTTTCCTAAATGCCGTGTGTATGAGTGGTGTTTATTTAGTACACTTGGTTCAAATTTTCCTTCTCCTTACTCCATGCCGTGCAAGTTTTTTTTTAAGTGGACAATTGTCCAAGCACTTCCCTTTGTTAGCTATTCACGTGACTAGTAAGGCCAAGAGTGAGAGGAGCATGTAATGCCAAGTGGTCCAAGTTCTTATGCATGAGTGTCATGTGTCCAAAGCTTTGACCATCCTTGTATTTCCCCCTCATTGCATTCAGCCCTTATTATTATGTGAGGCTTTGGAGACTTTGCTCCATTTTCTCCTCCAAGTGCCGAGAGTATAGAGTGAGTTAGTGAGAGTTAGTGAGGTTTGGAGTATTATTCGTGAGCCTTTGCCGAGAGTACCGCACGCCCGCGAGCCATCCGCACGGTAGTCCGAAGGCGCACGCGACAACGCATGCACGCCCGCGAAGGGGCACGACCGAGAGCGGGAGTTCGAGTAGATTAGTCTCTTGAGCTTTATAAGAGGTAAGTTCCTGACGGTTGTTGACCGAGCCTATCATGTTTATTTAGTTCGATTTTTCCCGTTAGTAGCATGCACGCGTGTCATGTGTGTTAGCCGTAGCCATGCCGTCCATGTCATGTTAGGAGCTATTTTCTCCGAACCATTCTTGCATGTTTAGTCCTTATTTGCTGTATCATGTCTATAGTAGCTTAAGTGTTCGGATGAATTTAGTCATGTTGGTGGAGTTTGGTCGAAGGGGTGTGGTCGCACACTTAGTGCGCACCACGGACCACCCGAGTGCTATTGCATGTTAAGTTCGAACCTTTAACCATCATGTATTTTCATGTTCAGCAAGTCATGCTCAAGTTCAGTAAATTTGAATTGCCGAGATATTATGTGATTCGGTCGTTAAACGGCACGACGCCGTCGGCGGCGCCCGCCGCGGCCATAGTTAGTCCTTCAAGTGAATCTTCATGTTTTCAGTATATTTATGTTCATATGATCATGTCATGCTTATTGAAGTCAGTTTGTTCGGAAGTAATTGCCGGACGGCCGGCAAGGGCCGGCCGTGGCCGCGCTGTCCGCACGCAGCGG